GCGATGCCTTTCAAATAGTTTCTTATTTTTTGTTTCAAACCCTGGACCCGTCTCTCACCAAAGAAGTTTTCAAGTGAGTAAAAATTATTTAATTTTCTTTTTGTTAGTGACTACTTCTTAAATTTGAGAAAAGACTATGCCTTGATATAAGCCAGAATTTCAATTTTGGCCTTTAAATATTATTTTGAATGGATGTAACAAAATTCAGGTTTGAGTCTTACAAATTTAGTGCTTAACCTTTATAAATCTGAGTGATTTTTCTTTGGCACTTATCTTAAAATCATTGTATATTTCACAGGTAAGTTGGATTTTGTTTTATAAATTAGTTCCTGCATTCTTCGTAGTCTTAATTATTAGGCAAAACAAATAACTGGTCTCAATTTATCTATGCACTCATTTTGCCTTACTTTTTTTTGTTATTAATTACCTTCTTGTCTTATTCCTTTTCTTGTAGGCAGTGTTATTTTGTCTCTTTAGTTTCTAGGTCTCTGTAAATCCTTATTATTTTTGGTAAAGTGTTAAATGCTGTAGGTAAAAATTTTTATTAAGTTTAGTCGATTATTATATACTGTTGAATATTAAATAATTTAAGAAGGAGATAAAAATGTGAATACCCACTAGCCTTGGTTCCAGGTTATTTTACATGTGATTTGGGTTTCTTCTGTCAGAAAGAATGTTCAAATTTGTTTTAATGTTTATATTTTGCCATCATCCTCTTAACATAGAAAAGCAGTAAGTCTATTGCTTAGGGTATTGTTTTTATTTTTGATAACTTATTCGTAATATTTTGCCTTCAGTTAAAGTTATGAGTGACCAGGAGAATAGATATATTTGAAACATTTTTTGAAAATCTCTATCATTATGGTTTAGGGCTTTGTCTGCCCCCTCCCCCCAAATAGAATTTCTGAAATTTTCCCCTGATTATAAACATAATACAGCTCATTTTAAACAATTCAGAAAATACATAAAAATGTAAAGAAAGGATGTGGTTCCATAGTGTAGTGGTTAGCACGTCTGCTTTACATGCAGAACGTCCTGGGTTCGTGCCCCAGTGGAGCCACAGTCCATAGTCTACGGCCATGCCACCCTGAACAAACCCAATGTCTGATCTTGGAAACTAAGCAGGGTTGGTCCTGGTTAGTACTTGGATGGGAGACCACCTAGGAAGGCCAAAGTGCTGTAGGCATAAATAGTAATTAAAAAAAAAAAAATGTAATGAAGGAAGTAGAAATCACTCCTAAACCCACCAACCAGGGAATATTACTGGTGATATTCCAGCCTTCCAGTCTTTTTTTCTGTGCATACTTAATTTTTTCTATGAATATAGAATTATGTTTTGTTATAGAAATATGAAAAACATAGGGTCCTAAACAAATAATTATGCCTCAGGATAAAAATTTACAGATAAAACTGATTATCATGGGAAAGCAATAAGTAAATTTTAAAGTCTATTATTTTTAACTAAATCTGAGGCAAAGCTTTTTGTAATAATTTTATATCTTGTTTATCCACAAAACAATAGTATCCACTGACCATGATATAGGGTTATCTCCAGGAATCAAAAGCTGTCATGCCATTCCTTCTGTGCTTTTCATTTATAACCATTTATGTTTCTCTTTTTTTTCAGGCTTAACATACTGGGTTATTTATACCAAATTTATGTATTAGTCCAGTGAATCCATTGAGAGTGTTCTCATTTTTAGCTGATTTTTAGTAATTTTAACATTTAATATATGTATTTATTGATTATTTGCATGAAATTGAATTCAACCCTGTAGATCTTTATAAAGAAAAAGACTCCATTTCTCACTGGTTGGTGTCTCTTTAGTTGAAATTTACAAATGTTAGCCTTGATTCATTTAGCATTATTGTTTTTCATATAGGAGATATATTCAATATTTTTAAATTTTGCTGTTTGCTCTTTTGTTCATAATTCTTTGCTCTTATTTTTGTTTTTAAGACTTTGTTGGCCTCCATTTGACCAAAAAACTGATACTGAATTCCGGAAACATTGCTATGAATGGTTAAAAAAGATTTCTGTAAGTATTCTCTTTCTGGAAGATGGAAATCTTAAGAAGTTAAAAACTACATTATTTTTTTTCTAACTTTATGGAGGTACAATTGTATATTTTTTAGAGGTGAAATATTTTTAATGCTTTTATGCTAACAGTATATGCAAGAAAATATTAATTAGAACAATACTTTTTGCTGGTTTTTGGTTGGGATTCTACATATTTCTAGGAAACTGGTTTTGCTGGCTATGTGCATTGGAAGTAAGTTTTTGAGTTCCTTGGAGTTTGTATCACAGTTTTTATTTAAATAAAACTTTTCTGACCATACATTATTTTAGCTTGTGTCCTCAAATTATATCAGTAATTGTCCTCACTTTATATTGTAATTATTTTTTGTGACCAAGTCACCCAAGAATTTAGAAAGATTCAAAAATTAAACTTTGTTCAGATGGAATCATCCTAATCAATCTTATTATGCTTCAGAAACAGTATGAGGTAAATATAAAGGTTTTTGTTGATAAGGTCTTCAACTCATCTTATTTCTTTTTCCCATAGGCTGAATGTGGAAGTAGCTTTCCTCAAGTTGTTGGTTCACTATTTCTTTCTCCTGGTGGTCCTAAGTTTATTCATCTGATGTATCATTTTGCAAGATATGTTGCAATAAAATATATAAAAACTCATTCTAAAAGTAAGTTAAGCTTGTAGTAGGAAATTCTTTTGTTTTGTTTCATAAATTTGTAAATTATCATTCACAGTTTGTAAATTATCAAGAGGTTTTCATAAAGCAACATAAGATAAAAACATTACCTCAAAAGGCAAATAATTAATATTCTACTGGAATTATAGTTTGAAATCCTCTCATAATGAACATAACACTTCATCTTAGCCAAAAGGCTGAGAAGCAATTTTCATGAACATAAACTATTCAGATTATTTTATTATGTTGTAATACAGGAATTGGGAAACATTTTCTATATAAGGCCAGATAATAAATATTTTAAGCTTTGTAGACCACTCAGGGTCTCTGTCACATATACCTCTCTGTTTTATTTTAATTTTTTCACTTTTAAAATATAACCCTTTAAAAATATCGAAAGCATTTCCAGCTTGCTGACCTCAGAAAAACAATCAGTGGGCCAGATTAACCCTGCAGGTTATAATTTGCCTCTAATACATTGTATTAAATGTGTTGAATTTGTTTGAGATTTATTTTGGCTACTGGAACTTTTTTTATTAGAAGTTGCATTTTTAAATGGATTTGATCTATTTGCTAATTCATAGAAACAAAATATGTATTGGATATTTAAACTAAGACTTAAAAGAATGCTATTTGTAGCTTATTAAATATATGCTGCTCTGTTTAATGGGTTTATACTCATAAAATGTGGACAAGAAACTATAGAAAAGTTGGTGCAGTAAACTCCATCCATCTTCCAGTTTCTAGAGACAGCCATTGCTGACATTTCTGTTTATTTTCTTTTGTTTTTTTTTCTGTTTTTTGCATGTATTACAGCTATACATTTTAATTATTTTGAATAAGTACTGTTTCTTATGATTCAGAAATCAAAATGTGAAGTCTATCTTCTACCTCTATTCTCTTACTTCCTAAATTCCCTTCTTCCAGCCACTGTAATCAGTAATACAAGCAAATATGTATATATTCTTTTTTTTAAACCCTAAACCCAGAGATGACATATATCTGGTTTTGAATCTTGTGTTTTTCACGTAACAGTATATATTAAATATCATTCCATGTCAGTTCATAGAGCTTCCTTATTCTCTTTTTCTCTCTTTAGAACTGCATATTTGAATGAATGTGCCACAATGTATTTAAATCAGTCTTCTACCGACAGACATTTGGCTTTTTCCCCCTAATCTTTTGGTATAAAAACAGTTCTACATATATCACTTTGTGTATGTTCAAGTGTGCATATATGTGCACATATATATGTACACACACATTCATATCTAAAAGTATTTCTGATTGAAAGCAATTCCAGTCAACATGTTCAGTCTTTGGATGACTTCTACATTAAGCAAACTCATCTCATGTTAAATATTTGGAAATTGTGGTGATTTTTTTGGAGGTAATGCTAGGACCTGGATTAGTAATGTTAAGTGTAGTGTGGGATCCTTGTTTTCCAGAATATCCATCTTTATTGTACTAAGCTATCTTAAAGTAGGATTTATTAGACTTACATGTAAAAACTTGGACTCTGAAATGTTTGGTTGGATTGTTTTCAGGGTCTGCTTTGAACTTTAGTAACATAGCCAAGAATTACTTGGGGAATGGTAACTGGTTTTATTTGGTTGTCCTGTCTTGTACTTACTAGGAAGAAAAGTAAGCTGATGGAAGCAATAGAGGTGATATGATCTCACCTCATCTATTTTAATTGATTTTCTTCCTTTGTCGTTAAAAGATCTTATTAAGAAGTTGCTCATGTATGACAGTGTATTCATGGATATATCAAGCTATGATAAGAATTATTTTGGGCAGATGGACTATAAAAAATTTTAATTATGTGAAACAACTTCAGATATCTTTTTTTAGTTTTTTATTTTAAAAATAGGTCATCCTTGCTTTTATTGAAATTAGTTGTATCTTTTTGTGTATGTGGCATGTCAGCCTTTCAAGAGTTGCCAGTTTCATGAGGTTGTTAATCTCTTTAAAAATTAATAATTTATAAATAATATAAATAATAATTAATAAAATCCAACATTTTTTGATATTTATTAGCTTATAAATCTTAAGTTTTTTATGATCTTATTTGTGTTCCATGTAGATTCATCCATACGATTTTCAGAGACATTTAATACAAAGCCACAGGATTTGCACATGTGCATTGCCAGGTGCCATGTAGCACGTAACAGATTTTTACAAATTTTACAAAGAGAAGATTCTGTTTTTCAAAAATATCAGGAAAATGCACAGTAAGTAATACTTTGATATTTAGAAAATGAAAATTTCTTTCTTTTTGAACGAATGTCATCAGTATACCTTCAGTGGCAATAATCCCTTGCTGTTATCTTTTCATTTTAAAGCTAGATAACTTCTGAATAAAATGTTTTAAACTTTAGATACACTGTAAATGAAAGTTTAGAGAAAATGAAAAGATCACTTTAGTTCAAGAACTCAGTTTTTTAAGCAAGTTTTTTTTATAGCATGGAAATCTATTTTAAAGCTGTATAGTGTTCATTCTGTTTTGTATCCTTTTTTCTCATAATGTTCTGTAAATTTTTCCATATTGCCATACTGTATTACTTATATTGTCTACCTGATAGTCTGTCGAATACCTACTAAGTAGGTATTCTGTAGTTTCTTTAACCATTTCATACTATTTTATATTTAAGTTCATCTGTTCAACAATTTTTTTTGAGTTACTTCCAGATACTGTTTAGGCACTGGTCCTGCAGCATTAAACAAGACAGGCAGGGTTCTTACTCTCAAGAAATAGTGTCTAATGTTTTGCTGTTATTAACAACTACAGTAAGATAACTTTTTAAATGCTATTATCTATTACAAAAGCTAAAAAAAATCCTTCGAAATTGCCTTACAAATGCACTGTTGCTTAACTCTTTTAGTTAACATTTAAATTTATGCCCTACGTATGTGAGACAAGGATAAGAGAGCAGAGTAGTCTTACTAAACAACATTTTTACTCAAAGTCAGAGAGTATATGAGCGAAGTGCTAATCCATCTCAATAGCAGCCCGTATGTTAGACCACTCCTGTAACTCTAAATGAGAGTGTAGAGTCCTTTAGCTGGCAGCTGGGTATATATGGGAGAGGAGTCTTCAGAAGCCTTGAGCAAAGATATGAAAGGGGGAAAATATTAAAGTGCCTGTACCATTTAGTTGTAATGGGATTACAGATGGTCCTTGACTTATGATGGTTAGACTTAAGATTTTTCAACTTTATGATGTCGTGAAAGCCATATGCATTTACTAGAAACTATTTCGAATTTTGTATGTTAGTCTTTTCCTGGTCTAGTGATATGTGTTATAATCTTCTTGTGATGCTGGGTAGCGCAGTGGACTGAAGCTCCTAGTTAGGCAAATGATCACGAGGGTGAACAGCCGACACTCTAACAGTATACTGTGTGGCTAGCATTTTTTGGATATCGTGTTTTGCGGTTTTCACATTGGTCATATCTATAAAATGCCTATCTGTGTCTCCTGTTTATGGTGAGAAGAAGGGGGAAAGCAATTACTTTTGAGAAGAAACTCAAGATAATTGCCCAAGTGTAGGCTAATATGAGTGTTCTGAGCACATTTAAAGTAGGCTGGCTAAGCTATGATGTTAAGTAGCTTGAGGTGTATTGAATGCATTTTTGACTTAATGATATTTTCAGCTTGTGATCAGTTTATTGGGATGTGACCCATTGTAAGCATCATAGTTATCATTTTGTGTGTTTTCTTGCAGATTGTCACTTAAACAAGTAAGAAATTTGAGATCAGAATATATGGAACAGCAAAACCAAATAAAGTAAGCAGCTTTTATTTATTTATTTAATTTAAAAAAAATAAGTGACTTTTTTTTAAAATAAGTGACTTTTAGAGCTGAAAGTTGCCATGCATGTTAGTTTAGTGCCTGTATTCTATAGATAAGGAAACTGAGAGTCCCAGAAACATAAATAATGTATCAATAATTATATGATTTTGGTGTAGAACATAATTCTGAGCCCTAGTCCAGTTCTTCTAATAAATTATTGCTTTGAGCTATAATTTTATTTGTTTTTAATTGGAACGATTGTGGATTTGGAGATCAATTAGCTCTTTGGTTGATAAATTATGTGATTTTTTTTATTTTAAGTGACTAACGAGATTGTTTAATTTTTAACTAGAACGGAACCTTTTGAAGACGAAGGTAATATACAAGAGAAAATTCAAAAGGTGAGAAAACTTTGGAAGAGAGAAATGTAATTTTTCATATTTTTGTGATATGCAGTGTTTGCTGTTTGCTTACTTAATTGGACGCTGTCATTTCTTTTTGTAGCATTGTTACTTTTTTTTTGTACTCATGATATCTATATGGAAAGGTATTAACATGGTGATATCTATATGGAAAGGTGCCTCTAAAATGTTTGAATATGTTGGAAAAAATTAGCTTATGATATATAAGACTAAATTTATACAAAAGCAGTTTTAAATACAGTTAAAATCTTTCATGCCAGAAACAATTTAGTTCAGTTTGATTATATCTTAATCAGTATTTTTATTTATCTAAATTAAACACATTCACTGAAAGGAGATGGTAAGTAGGGAAGAAAAATGAGTTACATTGAGTTACCAAGGCTGGCTTGGTAGTAGGAGGAATCTGGCAGATTTAATGGTCTGAGGCTTTCAGAGGTTGGCTTTGATATGGGACAGGAGTGTTTTCTTAGGACTTCTTTGTGTTTAGATGACATCTCAAGCCCTTTGTTCTGATTTTGAGTATTAACGTGGCTTCTCAGGCACTTTGTCACTGGAAAAGGTGAATCCTGTTCTTAGGAAATAATGTTCATTCAGTGAATATTGATCACCTTCCATGTGCCAGACATTCTGCTAGATATTAGAGCTACAGCAATGAAAAAACTGGCTAAGTCACTTTTTTTCATGGAACTTCCAGTTTAGTGAATATGAATAATCCTATTACTGAATGCAGTATCTTTGTAAATTTTATAGGTTGGTATGAAACCTGTTAAAGTTTTCACAGCAATTTCTCCTGAGTTTGGTTAATGTTCAGTTTCAACTTTGAGCCATTGACAAGGTAAAATTTCTAGACTTGAAAATTCTGAGAATCAGATCCTGGATTTTTTAAGTTCATCAAAAAATGCCATCCCGTAAGACCTCTAGACTGTCCTCCAATGAGTCTTCCTTTGGACAACTTTACTTTACACTATGGGAAGACAGACAGCCTCATGGGTATAATTATGGTATTTCCCTCCTTCCCTCCCACTTTTGTAAGTTCTGTTGAGGAAAAACATATAAAAAAGTGTAAAAATCATAAATGTTATAGTGTGACAAAATATCACAAAGTGACACGTTTGTGTAACCAGCATCCAGTTTAAGGAATAGAAGGTTACCAGCATCCCAGAAACCTCGAGCCCCTTTTCATTCACATCCATTTCCTATATCCTCAATTCTCATACAAAAGAATAGTTTTACCTATTCTTGAACTACTTATATAAATTTATATATATTGAAAATATTTTGTTTGACTTCTTTCACTCATGCTGTTTTATACATAGTGTTGGTGTATAGTTGTAATGTGTTCATTTTTATTGCTGTATAGTGATCTATGAGTATAGCACAGTATACTCTTTTTACTCTAGGTAGATTTTTGGGTTGATTGCAGTTTTTGGTGCTTTTAAAGAAATGTGTTTTTTCATGTTTTAACTTTTTAAAATTTGAATGACTTAAAATTCATGTGTAAGGTTTTTTTTTTCTCTCCTGAAAATCTTTTATTATTTCTCTCTGAAAAATCTTCATTAGATTGCTGGCATGTCAGAATAAAGGAAATGCTAATTTTGTCTTGGTCATATAAATTTTCTTAGATTTGTTTTGAAAATCATAGTGGGCTAGATTTTTCTGAGAAATTCTTTAGTTTTAAAGCCCCTTCGGAAGTACTGTCTGTGCTTTTAGACTATTATGGTTAATTTTCTCACCAGAAGCCATTCAAGGAATACTCGATTTCTTCTCAGGAGTGAGCATTTATTTGTACTTCACATTTCTTTAATATATGTACAGATTATGTATAGACTTTAATATTTTGTTTGTTTTTGTTTTCAAAGGTTCGGTCTTTGTGGGCTTCGGTGAATGAAACACTCATGTTTTTGGAAAGAGAGAGAGAAGTTGTTAGTTCAGTCCTTAGTCTTGTTAACCAATATACTTTGGATGGAACTGATGTTGTTATCAGTGTTCCAGGGCTCTTACTTGACAAAATTGAGAAACAAATGTGTCAGGTAAGCATTTGATACTAAGGAATCTTTTGAGAAAATTCCCTTCGCATAATTATATATTGTTTTTTTTTATAGTGATTTTCTACTGTTTTCTGACTTTATTTTTATGAATATGTCTAGTAAAACTTTGATGAAGAGGGGTATGATTAAGAGTGTGTATATTTATATTCATCAACTTTTATTAATTGTCCGTACCTTGTATGATGTTACATCATACATAGTTTAGAGAGTAGGAAGTTACTTAATAGAAAGATTATTTGGTACTTAGTTCTTTATAAATTCTCACATAGAGCAATAATGATCTTCTGATTGCTAAATGTCTTTGTAAAAAGGCTCTGTCCTCTCTGGTTTCTCTTTCATCTTGATGTTATTACGTATTTTAGTCTTTTCTTCCTTTAGCTTTTATGACTTCAGTATCTCTTCACCCTTGTGGTTTTTCTGACTGCTGTTCTCAGCTTTTCCATTGATTCCTTTTTCTCTGACTTTTAAATGAGTGTTCCCATGGTTCCTTTAATGCCTCTTTTGCTTTCTCACATTACAAATTCATCTATATTGTCTTACCCAATTTCATGACTTCATCAGCCTCCTATACACTAATATTCTCATATTGGTGTTTTCAGTCTCTCTCCTTTAACCCAAACTATATCAAATCATTTCTACTAGTTATGGGGCATTTCTGACTGTTTTTTTCTTGGTAAACTTACCATTTATTAAGTTATCTACTGTATGCCAAGTATTGATTGTAGAATAGGAAATACAGAGATAAAATATTGTTGTGACCCTGAAGAGTTTTCACTTTAATAGGTAACATGACAGGCACTTCAGATTCGGAGTACATAAAGATCAGGATCTGCAAACTCAGATTCCTGTAGGAACTAGGGAGGTATTATGTATAAATGAAGTACACTAATTGTGTGTAACAATAGGGGTAAATTGGAAAGTGATGAGGTCTTCAGAAAAATAGTAATTTTTATGTGAAATCTATGATTGTAAAAATATTGGCAACTAATTCAAATAATTTTAAAACATTGGAACTATGCAGGCCAAATAAACATTTCTAAGTTTGGATGCAACTTTAGGGGCCATCAATTTGCAACTTTTGTTAAAACACGAATTCATAATCTTGCTTCAAACCCTTTCTCAATCTTTATTTTCCTTTCCATTCGCATTTCTTTTATTCTGGTTTTCAACTTTTTGCATAATATAAAAATGTAGTCTAGCATGTTAATTCTTCCAAAATGGTTTTCTTTGGACCAAAATTATTTACATAGTTTTATTTTGGGGTAGACAATTGACTTTTTTCATTCTTCTTTTGGTAACCTTTTTATTTAATAGTAAAAAACACAAATGTCTTTATGTAGCAGTTTATTATGTTAAGAACTTACAGTTCACTTTTTTTTTCTCTGATTTCTTAGTTGCACATAGGAAACGTTTATGAGACTGGAAAACTGAACCTTTTAACAGTTATTCAGTTATTAAATGAAGTCTTGAAAGTAATGAAATATGAACATTGTCGGGCTGACCAAGCAAGACTGGCAATAGACCTTCGCTTCCTTGAAAAAGAAACCAAATTTCAGAGAGAAAGATTATCGGATCTGAAACATATGAGGTACACTAGTAAGATTTTTCGTTATTTTATTGGGGGAGGAGTAGGATGGTTTTGATAATTTCTCATCACAGCTCTTGTGTAGTTAACAACTCTTTAGCTTTGGCAAACAAGTGTGAAAATTTTACTAGTACTCAAAAACCTTATGTCATCAACTCCCAGAGAGATACATGAAGTAGAAAGAAAAAGTGAGGTAGTTTTCTTTTTGTCTGGAATATAATATTAGCCCTGAGTTTAATTTTTTATGAAATAATTTTAACTTTTCTGTAGCTTTTCTTTGGTAGATTCTACTAATAAAACTATGGCTTAGAAAAATGTTTTATTTGAGCAGAGTGACTGGGAGGTATGGGCTGCCTTTAGGAATGAACAGAGAGTGAGAACAGAATTCCTACTAGAGTTTAGAACCAGGAAACAAAACTGTATTTTAAAGATAAATGGAGTAATAAATGTATGATTGCTTTCTGGTTTTAAAAGAAAAAATGGTATTTTAGGTTCTTAGTGTTCATTGTGAGAGTTTATTCAATTTATATGTGATGTATTGGTTGATCTTTCAGTTACATTCTTAAATTTTACTTAATACTTTTTTATATACTCATGTTTTGAATAAAGTTATTTTTTTATGCTGTTATAGGCATAAATTGAAAGAAGATCTTACAACTTTAAGACATTCTATTATTGAAAAACAAGAAGAATGGCATGAAAAATGGAAAAAATACCTTGGTTTGTCTCCTTTCAGTCTAATTAAAAGTTGGACTCCAGTAAGTAATATCGGCTTGCCTTTTGGAGAGTAGTTTAATGCAAGGAAATCTCTCGATTTATCATGTTAGAAATGACCTAGAAATGCTGTGTGTATGTATGTTTGTCATTTTTGCATCTGAGCCTAAAATTCAAATGTTTAGTTTCTGTAATTCTTATAAATACATATTAAAATATTCATCAAGCTGCTGTTGTGATTTGTAGTTAATACTCTTAAATTCAGAGGAGTGTATTAAAACGACAATGAGACATTCCTCTTGATGTTTGCTGCTATTACATGTAAGGCATAGCTGGAGGCAAAAAATAGTTTTCTTGTTCCTAATATTGTATGTTTTAAAAATAATTATAGGATAATTTATATGCAGAGTGATTCTGTCTTTGTTCAGGGGGAAAATCATCCATTCTTAGATTAATTTGGTATTGTTTTTGTGGTAGTGAATAAAATGTGTACATTTCAAAATTATGAATTCTTTGTTTTCAGGCTGTGGATCTTTTACCACCTATGTCTCCCCTTTCGTTTGACCCTGCCTCAGAGGAAGCATATGCAAGAAGTATTCTTTTGCAGTATCCTGCTTCACTTCCAGGTTGGTATTTTTTTCTCTTTTAAACTTTCCTCTCATCAATATTTCTCACTACGATAACTGTTCCTTTACATTCTTTCTTGTTTTTTTATTTTTTCCTCCAATTATTTTTTAGTGTGAAATGAACATCATTTCACTCAGGCAAAGTATACAACTCTGGCATTTAGTAAATTCACAAAGTTGTACAACCATTACCATTATCTAGTTCTGGAGGATTTTCATTACCTCAGAAGGAAACGCTGCACCCACTCCGTATCCATTAAAAGTCACTCCCCATTTCCTCCTGCCCCAGTTTCTGACAACCACTAATGTACTTTGTCTCGCTATGGATTTACCTCTTCTGGATATTTCTTGTAAATGGTATCATATAAATGTGAACCTTTTTGTGTCTGGCTTCTTTCACTTGTACAGTTTTTCACTTTGCACAGTGTTTTCAAGGTTCATCTAAGTTATAGCATGTATCAGTACTTCATTACTTTTTATGAATACATTCTAGTGTATGATTAAACCATATTTTGTTTATTCATTCTTTGATGGACATTTGGGTTGTTTGCACCATTTGGCTATTATGAATAATATTGCCGTAAACAGTCATTTACAAATTATGACTGTTGTGTAGAAGCCCACAATTTTTAAACATGAAAGAATGTTAGTTATTACCTGAATACTTACTACCTGTTTCAATAATTAACATTTGGCATATTTGCTTTAACTATGAATGTTTGTATTTTTGCTAAACCAAGTCAATTCTAGGCAGTGTAATACTTCGCTCTGTTTCACCATGCATTCTCATAAATGATGTTTTCCTACCATAGTAATTCCACACCTAAAAAATGAACAATAAATCTATAATGTCTTATTAAGCTTCCTTAATTATCATAGCAATTTCACACCTAAAAATTAATTTCTCTATAATATCTAATATCCATTTCGTATTCAGTCTGCCAAATTGCCCAGTACTGTATACACGAAATTGTTAATGGGTTCAGTAAATGTAAGACGGATAGGTAGAGGAATAAATGAATAAAAAAGTATATGAATTATATAGCCAAGATGGAATAGGTAATAAGTTTAGTCCATAGTTGAGTTCAGGCAGGCTGGACGTCATGGTAGGACTTAGGAAGAAAATGGTGAACACAACTGGTATAGGTGATTGGTTTAGGAGTCAGGTATATATGGGGCGGACACTGGTTGGAAAAGAGAGCAAGGCTCAGAATAGGTGCTAGCTGAAGAGTAGAACATTTTGACTGCATGGTTTGATGAATGAAAATGACCTCAATAGAACATTACTTATGATAGAATTTGATAGCTCCTGGCATGTATGGTTGGCATTGTGTCCTCACTTCAGCTTGGTAAGGACCTTTGCACTCTTGTTAGAATTAATTTAGGCTCTGTAAAACCATGAAATTGTTCTCATGTCCATTCAGAGATATCTGTCTGCCTTGAAAGTGAGGGCCTATTTGTGTCTGCTTAAGTCTAGTTGGAAGTCCACATTTTAGAGGTGTTTGATAAGTTCTCTGGAGGTAACCCTGTCTTCTGACATTGCACAATTTGTACTCTTGGGACTCCTTTTATTTCCCAAGGGCAGAGCCTTATTCTGAGCTGGGGAACTGCAACATTTTTTTATACTTTTTTGTAGTAAAACAACTTTTTTCTCTCCTATACCTTACATAGTATGTCTTAGTCAAAGTAATTTTCGTTTAAGTTGTTTTTTTTAAATTGTATTTCAGCATATAAAAAATGCAGGGAATAATATAAATACCTGTTTACTGAACACTCATTTGACAAATCTTTACAATATTTGCTTTAGATTTTTTAAAAGTAACATATGTAGTTAAACCTTGGGTATCTGCCATTTCTTAACCTCATTCTTCCTGCATTTGCTGAGATAATCACTATTCTGAATCTTATATCTATTCTGATGTGTGTTTATAAAAATTTTACTTTATCTGTATGAATCTAACAATACATAGTATTGTTCTTCCATTCTAAAGTTGATGAATAAAATGTCTCTTATGCCCCAAAATGTCCAGTGAGTGCTCACTCATTTCATTTGGTTGTTTTCTTCTCTTATCACTTTTATTCTAGAATAATTCCCCTGTCCCCACTTTTTAAAAATGACATTATAGAAATTGTTTTTAACAATCATTGTGTGTTTAGATTTACCAACACATTTACAGATTTTCTTTTTTTTGGTTGCTATTACTTCTTCTGCTGTACTTTTTTTCTTTTGAGAAGTGTATCTCGAAGTATATCCTTTACTTTTAGTAATGGACTCTGAAGAGTAGTCTTTCGTCTTTCTGGGAAACTGTCTTTATTTTCACTTAATCCTGAATGATAGTCTGACTGGATGTAGGATTATAGATTGACACTTTATTTTTCCTTAGGACTTTGATATAATCTTATTGCTTTCTGCCTTATGTTGTTTCTCAGACATTTACTGTCGATCTAATTGTCATTCATTTGTAGGTGTGGTTGCTTATAAGACTTCAATTTATTTTTGTATTATGCAGGCATATTCATTGAGATGTGTCTAAATGTAGATTTGTTTTTATTTAGCCTGTTTGGGACTAGTATATACTTATTTAATGTGAAGGCTCATATCTTTCTTTAGTTCTAGAAACTTACTCACTGATTTCTAATATTGTTCCTCTCATTCTTTTGACCCTTTGATTCTGTAACTCCTGTTGGGACTTCTGATTCTGTCTTTCATATCTCTTAACTTCTCATTCATACATAATTTCTTTGTAACTCTGGGCTGCATTCTAGGTATTTTCCTTGAATCTCTACTATGGTCTACTAATTATCACTTTAGTTATGTTTAATTTCATTTTTGACTTATTCCTTTAGTATTTAGTTTTCATGAATATACTTTTCATTTGCTTCTTTTTCAAAACTGTCTATTTTTCATGGTATCATCTTTCCTTATGGCTTCTGTTTCTTTTTTGCTAATCATTTAAAATGTACTGATTTTATCTTTGTCGATTTTTCTTATATCTCTCTGTTTCAGATACTCTGCTCCTATATGCTCTGCCTACTAATTTTCATGGTGGTTTGCTTCCTATTGAAACACTTGACTATGATCTCAATGACAGTGAGTCTCCTCACCCCTGGAAGAGTCACATGGGCCCTGAATTGTAGAAGGGTCTCTACAGAGTGGCCTAGGGACTCAGGAGTTTCCCTTGAGCTAGGCCAGTTAGTATCTCTGGTTTGGGATTCCTACAATAAGTAGTTAGTGTAAGTTCGGATTTCACACCTCCTTTTCAGTAGGCTAGGTTTTAAATTTCCTTCCTTCCTTCCTCCTTCTTTCTTTCCTTTTTTTTCACTCAGGACTCCAGGTTGACAGCAAGCTTCTCTGCTACTTTCCTAGTCCAGTTGGCAGAATTTTTATAATCTCTTCAGAGGCTGAGCAGCCTTTACAGTGTTCTGCCTTATGCCAGTCTCTCAGATTCCAGCCTGAGTGATCCAAGATGATATTTCTTGTTACCATGCAGCCATTATGTCTCCGGTGTTCAGCTTCTGGACCCTATCTCACTGAGCTTTCATTTCTCAGTGTGAGCTTACCGTGTTGGTCATGCTTTCCATCTTTGGTTTTGGCATGTGATGATTTTTATTTTCTTCTGGGCTTTTTTTCCCCTTACATTTTATTTAGCGGTTCTAGTGTGTTTATGGTAGGAGTCACTGTCTGCTTCATCTTGGTTCGCTTTGTAGTGATGAGTTCAGTTTTTCTTTTTAACCTCCTAAATGCCCTGTTATGCCTGTCCCCTCCTTTGCTTCCTTACAGCTTAAGTACTGTAGATTAGTTTTTGTCATTTCTTGCCTAGAATTGTGTTATAACTAGCTACTCTGCCTCCAGTGTTTTGTTTATTCCATATTAAAAGTGGCTCTCAGTGGTCTTTCTGTAATATAAACATGGTCCTTTTCATCTCCAGGTATAATACACATCAGTGGCTTCCTATCACCTATTACCTTTAGGAAAAAGAAAAAGAAAAAAGCTCTAAACACTTTTTCACCTAGCAACTTTTACTTTACAAACTTTCTTACATACCAGAACAAATGTGCATCAACTGTGCCCACCACCATCGGATATTGTTTATAGTTATACATAAGCGTTTTAGTTTGTAGTTGTCAAGTTTGTGGTATTTGTGTTCATTTTTATAACGTTTTATAAATCTCAGTAATTCCATCATAATTAGTAGCCGCAAAAGGATAGGGTATTGAAAATGTTATAAGATGGCATACTATTATGATGGATTAAAAGGGAAACTTTATGTAATATCCATTGGCTTCTTCTATAGTACCACTTTGGACACATGTGTAAATAGTCTCAGAAGCTAACATGTTGAAAGAAGAAGAGCCCCTGGAATATCAAATCTTCTGTAATCTAGCCATGGTTTTCCTCATAAGTTTCATTTCTTACCAATACTTTTACTAGATATACCCTCTGCTACTCCATACCAAACTTATACCTTATTCTCTCAGTACTTTCATGCCTTCTTCACATTCCCTAGTCTGGGGCAGATGCCCTTCTGCCTCCTTGCATACTTCTATCATAATACTATGGCAGTATACATAATTTTCTACTTATCAAGTTTTTTCTACACGAACTCTTTGAAGGTAGGTCTCCATCTTTTATTTCTTTCTCCAGTTTTTAGTACAATAATAGCTCGTAGTTCTTCAGCGATATGTTGAAGAATAAGTACATAGGTTGAATGAAGTCATAGATGCTGAGCTGAAATATGCTAAGAACTATAACTTTTTGTCTTTGCTGGTTTATATGGTAATTGCATGATCTGTGTACTTAAACATGAAGCATAGCTATATAATGCTGGAGAAATATGGACTGTCTCTTTTGGAAACTTAGTGTGAGTTATCAATCTTTTTAGAAAAGCCTATTAATACATATTCTTTATCACTGTCCTACTGTCACTTTATACTTAACAATTAAATAATTGTCTTTTCCTATTAGCATTCTTATTATTCTGATTTTTTTGTTTCCTTCACTTAAGAAGTTGTAGAATTTCAAGAGATCTGCCAATATTAGAATGTAAAAACATAATTAAAGAGTGATTAATTTTTCTATTTCTTTAGATACACCTAAGCAACATAGCCAGGAAAATGATTGTAGAAGAGCCACTGATACACTAGGAACTGTATATGATCTAGCCAACAGGTAAAACAAATTTGATTTTCATATTGATTTTTTCCTCCTTTATTAATTTTTGTCTCATTTTTAGCTAGTTTTTAAGCCTCTCTACTATGGGATAGTCCATAATTTTCTTCTCTTAACCAGACAGTATTTTTCCACTGCTAATCTATATTTTCAGGAAAGACTCAACATTTCTGATGCATGGGCATATATTTTTTCTGTTTTTCTATTATCTAAATGTTGAGATTCATGGGGATCATCTAATTTTTGAAGGAAAAAACATGGAAATTATCTGATGAAAATTTGAGAATTTTTGTTTTTTTATGTATGTGAACTTCTTTGAAACCAGTTGTAGCTATTGACTAAATCCAAGAGTTCAGGGACTTTTGAGATCATCTACTCTGGTAGTCTTCAGTCTGTATTCTGTTGTGCCCTCTGGTTCTGTGAATGAATCTAATTTAGCCTGTGGGCAGTCCAACCTTTCCTACTTCAACCTGAACAACATATAATATCTGTATTATATTTTGGTGTATTTGTATTATATTTGATATAATATTATATATGAAATATGCCATTTGATAAAAAGAGTTCCATACTCAAAAAAAAAAAAGACTTCTGATTTAATCAGATACCAAAATTTAACATTTAAAGAACCTGAACTTAACTTAGTTTATTGTAACTTCCTTCAGGAGCATTCTCATTTTCTTTATTGCCTGTTTTCTCTATTATCCCATTTTGGCCCCTGAAACTGATGGCAGGTAATATAAGGGAAAATCTCTAAACTAAATATATGTAATCAGCTTGCGGAATATATTTTTTTAAATTAAGTAGCAATCAAATACAGACATACTAAACAGATTCTTTTATTTTGTTTTTTTTTTCCTGTTACCCTTTGTCCCGAGTTAGGTATTTTTCAGTCCAATTTCCCCATGTAAATGAGGCACAGATTTAGAAACAAAATACTTAGAATAATTCTAAAAGTAAATTCTAAATTTTAAATGAATTGAGGTCCTTTTTATACTCTGAATAAGTCGAAACAACATAACATGGGTCAAACTTATACAGTAGTACCCCCTTATCAGCAATTTCAGTTCCTGCAGTCAGCCAGCCATGTTCCATAAATATTAAGTGGAAAATTCCAGAAATAAGTTTTTAATTGTGTGCTGTTTTGAGTAGCAGGATGAAATCTTGGGCCGTCTGGCTCTCTCCTGCCTGGGATGTGACTTATCCCTTCTTCCAGAGTATCCTCACTGCCTAGCCATTAGTAGCTGTCTTGGTTAGGAGATGAACTGTCGGGGTATCACAGTGCCTGTGTTCAAGTGACCATCATTTTATTTACTAATGGCCCCAAAATGCAAGAGTAGTGATGCTGACATTTCAGATATGTCAAAGAGAAGCTGTGAAGTGTTTCCTTTAAGTGAAAAGGTATGTATATAACATACCTGTATATAAAACATGGTATATATAGAGTTTGGTACTATCTGTCATTTCCGATATCCACTAGGGGTCTTGGAATGTATTTCCCATGGATAAGGGGGTGGGGCACTACTGTATGTGAAATTGAGCTATTGGTAGTTTCCTCTGCAGTAATTTTTTGGTTCAGAGGAGGTCAGGATGAGTTGTGGAAGAATTATATTTTTATTCTTAGATCTGGATGTGATGTTGATTTTCTGAGTACCTAAAGACATAATGAAATCTGTGAAGACTTGATATTGAAGAGAAATAGTGGAGTTATTAGGCTTTTATCTTCTTATCACAGTTGTTCTTAAAGCATGCTAGCGGGGAATAGTTGGTGCCTCCCAATCTTAATTATGTTTTTGGTTTGTCTTCCTGTGAGAGAGCATATTAAATATGTTGATTAAAAGTCTCTCGCTGGACTAAAGATTGATGGAGTTAGTAGATTAGTTAAAAAATCAGATTTTATTTATGAACTTTATTGAACTTTAAGATTCTTTCTTGAAGTAGAATTTTGTACTAAGATGTGTTATCAGAATTCTACAGGAGCCAGACACAGCTTGTAAGAATTTAATTTAAATGGCTTCTCTTAATATGGGAAAAAGAAATCGTATAAATATATTTTGATCTCCACATTTGTCTTCTTATCCTTTTCCTAGCTCATGGATCTTTTAATTATCTTTTGATACTTTAATTATAGGTTAGGATATTCAAGGGAGGTAGGGGAAGGGAAGGCTTTTGATGATGAAGGATAAGTGCTAAATGGGATATGAAAGGTTATTATTGCCTGATGGCAGAAGAGAGGTGAAGAGTTGAGTTACTGGGATGTGGAGATAAACTTGTTCAGAATTCTTTACTATAAAAGGTATTTTATAATAAAATATTTTATTAGTAACGTAATGTGGGTGGATTGTATGTAAAGAAAATAATGCCTTTTTTGCATGTAGTTATACTAAATTATTATACTAAAAATTTTATTGGCATCTTATATCAGTATTAATGTAGTTAACTGGAAATTCATATGTGGATATAATCAGTATAACTCTTCAGTTAAAAAACATGGAAAGAATATAGTTTTTAGAGTGTATTATTAGCCTTTTCACATGCAGTTTTCATTCACAGGTACTAAAATATAAATAGTCTTCTCTGTAAATCTCATGTCTGGTTTTGGTCAGATGAGCTGATGGAGGCTTCACCACACTTAAAACCAGAATTCAGTGATTGATGATGCCTTTATTATATACTGTGGACACTACCTTTTTTTTCAATAGTTTCTGGAAGTGAGTTCCATGATATTTCTAGTAATGGTGATGTGATTATTTTTAGACCTTTAACCACTATAGTTTCTCGTTTACTGCATTTCAAAGATAGGGCAGTATGATCTTGCATGCCTGTCAACAAGGTATCCTTAGTCTTAGAAATTGAATTTCAATATTATATCTTTCTCTTTTTATAAACCTACTTACTATTTCTGTTAATTGTAGACATATTGTAACAATACCACCAAATAAAAATGAAAAATTGTTAACCAAAATTTTTAATAAATCGCTTGTCAGATTATTTCCTCAGGATCATTTTTAGGCATTTTTTTACAATCATAAATTTAGTTCTAATCAAAGCATGGATATAGTCTTGTATTATAAAATACAAAATTTCCTAAATATTAACATAGTATAAATACAGTTTTTTTAGTGTGTCGTATGTTTACTTAACATTACCAATTATTACTTGTAATGGCTTTGTAACATTTCATTTATTTTTAGACTTAAGTTTTTCTAAAATTTTTACTCCTAAAAAAAGCATGTCACTTTCTTTTTTTTCTTTTGGAAGTGCTCTTTCCTTAGGAGCAAGTCCCGCAATGGGATCAGCACCCTTTCTTTTGCTCTTGTACCGTGCCAGAATTTCATGGGCCTCAGTTTTGGCAAGTAGATTGAGAGTAAGGACTGAGCCAGGACTGCCTTAAAGTTGTTTTGGATTGAGATATTAGCAGTGCTGACCGCATGTTGCAGTTCAGAAATGAGAGAGAAGGTATAGAATATATTTCCATTTTTCTCTATTATGAAGCTTTGCAGGATAAAGTAGAAAAAAATTTGGTAGCATCTGTAAGAACCTTATCCTCAAGTAACATTCATCGATCAAGTCAATCTGTCAGTCAGTTACAGATATGTGTTGCATTATCAAGTATCAGGCACTGTTAGCCCCTGGGAATAGCCTTTAGAAAGACATAGTCTTCGTCTTCAAAGAGCTCACCATCTCGTGATGACATCTTAATGGCCTTGGTTCATGGGTTGCTGGCCCTGCTTCAAAGGGCTTTTGATCATTTTAATGTTAAGTTTTTGGAAAAACTAAGATAAAATTGCAGTAGATAGTTCATCTTTTGCCTTTGATGTATATAGATTATGTCCTGTTGAGGTGAAGCTGAAGCTTGAGCAATTTTAGTGCTTTTGCATTGTTTGGAAGGTAGATGATGATTCTAAAAAAGACATATTTGAAAAACTTTGAAAAAGCATATTTGCTATTTTATAATATATCTGAAAAGCTGTTAATTTTATATTTCTGGCTGTGAACAGAAGCAAAGCCCTGTCATGGTTGATGTTGAAAGTGGTCTCTGGTTATTATCCTGCCTTTTATATTACCTAGAATAGAGAAGCTTTTGGCCGTGAACAGACCCAGTCCATGATTAAATTTGATGAAGATGAATGGTTAAAGTTATCATTGCTTTGAAGGCTTCAGAAATTTAATAACTTATTTTGTAATTATAATGAAAATATGCATAAGGTTTTTATGTTTATTCAAAGGGACAAGATAATCTAAGATTAAAGAATACTATGTGTAGAATGCAGCATACTGAAGTTGAATAACTTTGTGACTTTATTGTAAATGTAATTATTTGCTGTAGAGTAAAATTCAGCATAAGATACGATTTTGGACATGAAATAGCTAAAGAATCTTAAAAGAAAGTCCCTGCTACAATGAACTATGATCTAAAGCCAGAAGACATTATAATAATGTGATTCTAATTAATTGAATTTGTTCTTACCCTGTACTCAAGTTCTTGAGTGTTCATCAGATCATTTAACCCTTTTAAAAAAATGCTCTCAACCTAAAATATACAGCAGGTAAGGCAAATATTCATAATTTGGGAGGCTGATACACAAATTGGGCTTAAGTACTGCTCTAATTGTCACCATACCTCCCTAGAATAAACTGCCTTTTGATGACCGGGACGAATTGAGTGAAATCGTAACGGACAGATACGGGGCAGACAGTGTCTTTAGAATATTCACATAGATCAAGTGAATGGTATTTTTTCCTACTCATAACTTGGGTTGTTATCTTTTTTCTTTTTAGCCCTTCTTCTTTCCTGTTGCAGCCAGTTTCATCATCAGATAGAAAAAGTGTTACACTATTTGAAAAGGTACATTTTAAAACAATTTTTAATTAATTTTGACCATACTAACTTATGATAAAATATTAATTATTTTTATTGATATCCCAATTAAATTTTAATTTTCACATGTCCCAGTATTTGCACATTAGTACCATTTCTATGTATATATTCACTGTTGCTTCTAAATGAGAATATGGGAAAAGAACCTCTAATGAAGATGATGCATGATTATTAAGGTTTTATTTTATTTTTATTTATTTATTATTTATGCCTACAGCACTTTTCTTCCTAGGTGGTCTACCATTCAAGTACTAACCAGGCCTGACTCTGCTTAGCTTCCAAGATCAGACATCGGATTTGTTCAGGATGGCATGGCCATCGACTATGGACTGTGGCTCCATTGGGGAACAAACCCAGGACCTTCTGTGTGTAAAGCAGACATGCTAACTGTCACACTATGGAACCATGTCTTATTAAGGTTTTGACAGTATATGTCTATCTTCTTCAGGACATGAAGATGAGAACACCTAGAGAGGATAATGAAACAGTTTCTAAGAAGACACTGGAATTTGAAATGGAAGACCTCCCATCATCAAATACTGCAAAGAATGTAGAGAGTAGTGCATTTGGAGAGCCTCTGCCAGTTAAAAAAAGTGATCCATTCCAAAAAGAGCAAGATTATCTGGCAGAAGAGGTTAGAAAAGGATTTTAACAAGTATACCAAATTATGTTATTTCTTCTATAGTGTTGTGATTATAAGTGAAGTACAGTTAATTATTGATTTATTGGAGATAATTTGAGAAAGAAGGTCAAGATAATAAAAATGGTTAAAGCAAAATTGGTCCTCAAATGTAGAAATAGATTTCTTATAAACTTATTAAGAGTACATCCATGGTTTAGAACTCATGTCCCATCTTATAAATATCCAGAAGTATAAAAATAATACATGTATGATATTTTTGAGATTAACTATTACATTAGTTGTTGGGTAAATATAATCAATGATTATACTCTGTTAAATACTCTGTGAATGTTGTCTTTTGCTTAGCTGAGCTTCCTTTTTTTTTTTTGAATATTAGAACAAAGACTACAGTATCACATTATTACTGAACAAAGGTTTTTGTCCTGCTTTCTAAATTTTTTAAAAACTGATTAATTGCATCATTGTTCATGATCTTCGTTTTCCTAACCAGCTTTGTTCCTTCATGCTATTCTACTTTATTGGCAAGTGACCACATGATAGTACTATTGCTCAGTAGTAATACTGAACTCAGTTTACACAAATTAAATACCGAAGCCATTTTTTTTTTTTAGGCGAAGCAACCCTTGGTTGACCTCATAGATTGCAAGGACCTTGTCAGTTTACAATCCCTTATTTTTTTCTTTTTTATGCCTGCAGCACCTGGTCTTCCCAGGTGGTCTACAAGCCATTCTTTAATGTTACTTATATTATAGTTTCCTACAACATCACTTAGCATTGTTTGAATTTGGATAAGTAGCCAGAGAGTAAATTAGCTACTTTATATTCCTGAGAGACTGAAAGAAAAATTTGGTTTAGTGATTCAGGTATTGGAGTTCCCTTCTCTATCTCAGTTCTATCTCAGTTCTGATTAAAGTAATGAATAGTGTCCAAATAAGAGAGCTGGATGTCAGTCATTTTTCTTGGTTGTAACATGAGGAGGTTGGGCAAGTTTCATGGTCTCTAAATATTCTATTGTTTCTCTTTGTTAGTTGATTAGAGTAAAGAAAAGATGGTCAGTTGGTCTTTTTTTCTTTTCTGATATGGAAGGAAAGGAACATTTTTTGGTTAAAAGAATGTTAGTAGCAGTGGAATAGGATGAGATGGAAGAGGAGAGGCCTAAAAATCATAAAGCTCTGAAAATAAAGTGAAATTAATCTTTAATAGTGTTTGTGACAAGGAACATTTAGTGTTTGAATTCTAAGAAGCCCTCTGTTTTCATGGAGGAGGGTAAGCGGGGGTTGATTTGATTATCATTATAAGAAAAGTTTATTTTTTAGAGATTTCAGGGGGCAGAGATTAATTTGCATGTTTTTAGTTTTTTATGACTTTATTCACGTTTAGTTAATATAGAGTGCTATTTTCATATTGTTCGCTTTGTTTTCTCTATTTTAGAATGTATGCTTTGTTCACTAATTTATATCTGATAATGAGATTTCTGGCAAAGAAGTATATTGTCAGAATGTATTCTGTTTACTAATAGAAGGGTTACTGTGCACATGTATTAAGAATCTGCTTGCTTTAAAACTAGTCATTTTAGCAGATATAGAGTTGTTAAGCTCAAAGATGTGGCGGATAGTAGTGTAGGTCACTGTGTAGTCAAAACTATCTCTAAATCTTCCCAAGTTTCAAGATCCTTATCTTTTCTTTTCTTTATAATGGGATATATAAGCGAGGAAACATTTTTGTGTTGATTTCTATTTGGCTTTTAAGAATTGTGCCTAGACAGTCTTTAGGGATTGTCTGAGAACTATATTGTTGAGCTTATTTTTGTGTCATCTATTACGGGAAGGTTTGCTGACTGAAGTGCTTTTTGTTATTATCAGGACTTTTCTTGCATTCTACCAATGAGCTTAATTTGGGGATAATTTTCGCTTTACTTTTTCTTTCTGTTTCAGGTTGCGAGGACAGTTTTATCTGATTCACCACAGCTCTCTACAGGAAAAGAAGTGAAACTAGAGCAACTGATTGATTCTTTAGTTTCTAACCCGTTCTTAACAAGGAACCAAATTCCTCGAACTCCAGAAAACTTGAGTAAGTTTATAATGCTTTCTGTCACTTTTTTTCTTAGACATTACTTCTATTAGAACCATGGTCTGACAGATCTTCTGGAAGTTCACTTTAAAACTCTTTTATATCTTTAAGTTTAGTGGTAGTGGCTCCTGGTTTCGATGTAAGGGACTTTTTATTGAATTATTAAATGTGGGCACTCTCACTTGTATAGCAGTCCTCTTTAGCAGTATTATTTTGCACTGGTACTGTACAGTTTTGTTTTTGTTGTGTAACTTGACTCTTTCCTGGAAAATAGTTGATCACTTTTAAAAAATCCTCTACCTCCACATCTGATCTGTGATCACATTTATAGAGTATAGAGGCTGTTTTCTCCTAGTCAACAAAGCAGCATCAGCCAAAAACTACGTATAGAGATCTTTTCTACCCTTCCTAAAGCTAGCCAGAACGTCCAGAACTTTTTTCTTATAACCTATAATTTTTGTCAGCAAAGTTTTGATATTGTTGTCCTTATGTAGGCACATAATCATGGTTGAGCGATTAAATATAATTTCCATTATGCTGCTAGAAATGACATATTTAAAGTGAAATTGATTCACTTCAAATAGAATCCACCACAGCCTGACGGTGGTCGGCAAACTTTAGACTACGGAACAAATCTGGCCTGCCCTGTGTGTTTTTGTAAACAAATTTGTATTGAACACAACCTTGCTCATTTGTCAACATGTTAATGGCGGCTTTCATGCTGCAATGGCAAAGTTGAGTAGTTGTCATAGACTGGATAGCCTGCAAAGCCTAAACTACTATCTGAACCTTGGCCCAAAAATATCTTTTTAATACATGCAATTTGTATATGCTGTGCGAAAATATATGCACATTTCAGAACAGCTTTTGTTATTTGTGTGTGATCAGTTGGAGATGGAGTTGTTTGATATTGTTGGGCTTTGGTATATTGTGGGAGCCTTATCATCTAACCAGCATATCTATGGAACATAGTAGCTTTATCTTGAGCACTAGAAATGAAATGTTTAATTGCATGCTGTGTTTGTGAATATTAATAAATTGTGTTTTCCCTCCCTTCATTTAATTAGTAAGTGATATTAGGAGCTCATGGAGAAAAGCTGTTGAAATGGAAGATAACAGAAGTACAGAACCAGTTCAAATGGATACTGAACATAGAAAAATATTGCCAGAATCCTTACCTGTGTTGCATAATCAAAAAGAATTTAGCATGGCCAGTTTTTTCTCAGCAACCACTGAATCTGATTATAGCCATTCTCATTTGCCTGAAGAGAAAATTGTTTCAGATTGCCTCAAGTGTTCGCCTCAGAAACGTGTGGTGACCAGTCTCATAGATAAACCAACAACACAAAGTCAGTCAGATTTGTTAAATAAGAAGATAATTTGCAAGCAAGATTTGGAGTGTACTGCTTTACAGAACAAGCTTCTAGAAACTACCCAAACAGAGACACTCTCTCCTGCTATAAGCAATAGGAGAGATGTGATAGGTAGCAGTGAAGGTGAATATATTAAAATATTGGATTACTCGCCAGCTTCTTACAAAGAACCTTCCATGCATAAAAGTATGTTATGGAATTCTTTTCAGATATCAAGTGGAATTAGTTCCAATAGTTTTAAGGATACTGATTTTGGCATATTACATGAAACTCTTCCAGAAGAAGTTGGCCACTTAAGTCTTAATAGCTCCAGCAGTACAGAAGCCAATTTTAAACTGGAACCAAATAGTCCTATGCAAAGTGGCATTTTTCCAGAAGATGTTGTGAGAGAAAGACAGACGACTCCAAAATCAGATTTAAATTTACAGGCCATTTCCAGTAGATATGAGGCTCTGAAAAAATCTCTGTCTAAGAAAAGGGAAGAAACTTACCTCTCTAATTCTGAAATACCTGAAGGACACAAACCACAATTGAGCCCTACTCCCTCAAACATGCAAACAGATGGTATGTGTAACTTTTTGGATACTCATGATTTGCACATTGACTATACAAAACCATCTTTACGCACGTCCCTTTCACCACTAATTAAGTTTTCTCCAGTGGAACAAAGACCGAGGACCCCAATATCATGTAGTCATGGAGAACTACCTAATTTAAAAGGTAAGATAAAATAGATCTGTACATGTTGATCAGTTGAAGTTTTCTCTCAACTTTTCATAAAAATAGTGTGCAGTGAATGCTACATGAGTTTTGTTAATGTGACAAAACATTCTCCTTTCAACTAGGATGAGAAGAGGGAACCCATCACTTTTATGGTTACTTTCAGAATCTCTAGTGATGTGTAGGTAGTTTACAATTGGTATGAGACAGGATTGGAAAACAAAACCAAAACCCCGAAATCTGTTGCTTTTGTAATACAAGCTACTGAAATCTCGACAGAATCTTCTTGGCTAGTGGAAGGAAGGTGGTTCTAAAGAAGTTGAGAAACACTATGTTAAATATCATTTTTGTAATAATATCTATGATTTGCTTTGAAATAAATTTGTTGGGGGTGGGGAGACAAAACAAGTTAGGTGAGTACATTAGTTTTCTAGGGCTGTGGAAACAAAGTATCTGGAACTGAGTGGCTTAAAACAAAAATTTATTGTCTCTGGAGGCAATAAGTTCTGGCGGCTAGAAACCAACATCAAGGTGTTGGCAGAACTGTGTTCCTTCTGAAGCCACCAGAGGAAAATCCTTCTTGCTTCTTCTAGCTTCTGGTAGCCCTGGGTGTTCTTTGGCCTGTGGCATCATGACTCGATTCTCTGCCTCTGTCTTCGCATGGTATTCTCCCCTTCAGTGTCTGTGCACCTTCTTACTAGGACGCCAGGCATGCAGATTAAGAGCCCACCGTACTCCAGAATGACCTCACCTTAACTAATTATATCTACAATTACCCTATTTCCAATAAAGCCACACTCTGAGGTCCTGGGGTTAAAACTTCAATATACCTTTTTGGGGGACACAGTTTAACCCATTAGCTATTAATAATAAATAATTATTGAATTATTGAAGCTGGATGATGGATACATTGGGTTAATGATAATCCTCTTTTGTATATTTTGAAAATATTCATTGTTAAGAGTTTAAAGCATGTTAGAACACATATAGATCTGGTGATACTCTTTACATATCACTTTGATTTGCCCATGATAATTAAGTACTGGTATATTGAAAAGTATTCTAAGAGGGATGTATTGATATTTTCCGGAGAGTATCTGGAGAGTACCTCAGTGAGAATAATGGTAATTATATCATAGTTAAGTATTTGTATGTGAATTTTTTACTTAAGAAAACTGAAATTTGCTACTAAGAATCTGTCCTATTTTTTTTTTTTTTTTCTTTTCCTTTTCTCCTTTTTAAAATCAATTTTGCAGAAGAAGAAATCTTAAATAAGAGCCTTGATACAAAAGAATCTCCATTCGACTTGATGAAGCAGTAGCCCTGTTAATTTAACTGATGTCTTCAATTGAAGCAAGCTGATTTAAAAACTGATTTATAATTTAAATACACATTGGAAGTGTAATTCTTTTTTCAAGGTCTAAAAAGACTTAAACAGTGCCTTTTAGCTTCCTCTAATGTTTTTAGGTAAGAAGATTATGTTTGGATTTTCTCTTTGTATTATTGTATGGGGTTGAAATGTGAAGTATTTGGAAAGTAAACGTCAAGTTACATGAAGCCATTTGATTTCTTGAATCTTGTAAGCATTAAGTAAATGGCAAAGTAGTAGTTTAATTTATTAGTTTTAATTTCAGTTAATTAAGATAAGGATGAGTGGTTTTTGATGTACTTTTATTAAGTGGTTAACATAATAACCATTGAATACAATGATCTTTCATTTTAGGGAAATATACAACTTATTGTTTCTTAATGGAACATTCTGATACTAACCAAAAAAAGTGAGAAAAATAGTGCCTTGAGATGTGTAGTCAAAATGACTAAGTTTAAGTTTGAGAAAATTCTAAATGGGCTTAATGATTACTCAAGTAGGTTGATCCTGAAAAATGTTTGCTCGAATGAAGTGCATGTGATAGTAAGTGAAGACTGGGGCAGAAGGAATTTAGAGAAAAGGGAAAAGGTAGAGGAGATGACTATACACTTTTAAGGAACACTATCTAACTATAAATCCATTTAGTGGGTTGTATAACAGATTTATATTTAGTCTAATTTAGACTTGGAGAATTTAATTTAACTCTAGTTTTATATTTTAACAAAAATAAAAATTAAAAAATTTATGTGTCGTTTGGTTTTTTTGGGGGGAGGGTAGTGTTTTGAGGGAGAGGAGCTAATTTTGATTATGTTACTTTCCTCATAAACCATTAGTTCCCCGCTGCCTACAGAATAGCCTCAAAATAACTTGAGGAAACTGAATTTTGGGGTTAAGTAACTTGTTCAGTGTCACGCAGCTAAGTCAGTGGTGAAGCTAGGATTTGATCCTATTTTCCTTCAGTAATAAATCTCAAGACCCCATAGAAATAACTAAAAGGCCAATAGGATATGGCTGCAGGGTTGGCCTCCTGTAGATCTTCTGGACTCCGAGTGGGAGTCAGATGTGAGGCCTCTTGTATAGTATCCTGCCTCACTTATGGCCCACAGCCAAGAAAAGAGCTTATCTCTAGCATCAAAGTGAATACATGCCATGGCCCTCTGAACCAAGAGGAATGAGCACACACTGGAAGCGTGATAGCACCTACAGTACTCCTCTGTAGCCCCAACTTTTAACCATCAAAACCTTTTCCCTTTGCTAAGAAATTGGCAAGGAGAGAAAAGGGAAAGGGAGCGTTCTGGAAGTGGATGGACCTAATAGTTGATCTTCCTTCACTCATTTTGGGCCAACTGTCTCTCAGTTGTTTGTTCAGTCCCAGTTTGAAGGCCAGTTTTTGTTGTGTGTTTGAGAAAAGATAGCAGAAAAAAGCAAAAACTTGCAGTGGAAAAGAGGAAAAGCTCCTAAGGTGCTGTATTCCTTTATTAATACAATGAATAAAGGACTCTACAGGTAAACTGGGAAACTAGTCTGCCTTAAGAAAACTGAATCCAAAATTAACATGTTGGAGAGGAGGTAGAGCCATCATTATCTACAGACTGCCTGGGCCATTCCTACCTAGCTACTTAATACATATAATTTCCTTTAATTCTTATAACTGTAAGATAGAAGGAGTAATAGAGGAATCTACATAGGGGACCTTCATATTTGAACTCTTCTGGAATTAGCAATGTAATTAATGGAATTTAAACAAAGAAGTGACGTGATCAGAACAGACCCTTGAAGTCAAAAAGCTGCTATGGAGGCAATATTGGAGAGGGAAGGTCTAAATACAGCCAAGTCATAATCAAAATGGTTTAGGAGAAAGTGAAATTTGAGATTTTTAGTGTTACTGAAATGCTTTAATGAGTATGGATCTCTAGAAACCTTAATTCACAAATCTGAAGCTGGAATACTTTACCTTCGTCTTCCAGATTATCACAAGTATAGCTGTCATTGAAGACGCAGAACAAATCTCACTTCCACCTTGAAATCTTCATCTACCCTTTCCATGGGCCTATCCTTTCTCTGAAATCTGTGGTTTATCTTAACTTTTATTCATTTAGTATTTTTTACTTAATTGCTTTTATTATACTTTCTTTTCCATGGTTGTATGTGCTCTCTAGCTATACCGATTATATACATAGCCATATGTACACCCGTGTAGATGTGTGTGGGAGGATGTGTCCACACATATACTCAAATGAAAATACTGAACTATTGGAATTATTTTCTTTGCCTCTTCTGTGATGGAAGTAAAGGTAAAGAGGGGTACTTTATTGTTGTAAATATACTTTTTCTCATTATATACATAGATTACACAGAATGTACCTTGTCTTATTCACTATTTGTAAAATAAAGTTGTGTAAACTGGCTTCTCTGTCAGTTTGAAACTTTGGATAATGCCAGAATGTCCTAACTATTTTAAATGTTTAAAGAGGACAAGCATGTGATGTTACTTAACATTAAAAATGTTATCTAGTAGAATAACGACTATTTGAGGTTAAAAACATTTGGGAGTAATTTAACTGAAAACAAAAATATAAGTGTTTTGAAACCATTCTTTTCCATGTGTTTCTTAATCATGATCTATGAAGTCAGTTTTATCTATAGGAAAAACAGGAATTCCTTGTTTTTTTTTCCTACTCTAAGAATACTAAAGGACATTTTAAGGACATTTTCCTCAATGTAAGAAAAGTATTTTCTAAAGCAAAATTCTCTTCACATTAATTGCAGATAGTTTTTTCCTCATGTGCTTGAATGTCAAGTTTACATCCTAAATTTAGTATTTGTGAGTCCTCTATGGGACTATTTGTAAATATGTTCTACATACTCTAGTCTTGAATAAACATTCAATATTATACCACCTGGCTCTGGAATTTCCCGTACATCAAAAAGAATCATGCCCTGCGAATCATAAAACGATCATGGTCACATTTAAAGTATCAGTAACCTGATCAGCAGAAATTTGTGAGGTTCAGTGATTCAGGTAAGAGTGTTTTATTACTGCCATTTTAATTACTAGATTTACTAAATGTATTTTAAAGTGATTTTAAAGAGTGCATCTGTACTTCAGAGTGTTTTTCTGGAGTCTTTATATTTATTGCAAAAGGCCCTAATTAGATGAGTTTAATAATCAGGTTGCTCTGTAGGTAGGGACCGTCATCCACAGCTGCTGCTATAGTGTTTAAAAAATGTTAAAATACCTTTATAAAGCCTTGGAAATTCTAAAGTCCTATCAGTTGTATTTAATGTCTGTATACAGAGCTAATGTCTCATTTGTAAAATGAATTGATCAGGTTTCTTGGTTCTAAAATACAGAGATTGCAATTGAAACAATCTTTAAGGCAGCTGGAAAGGGACATTTTAGGTTTGTTTTCTGATTTCAATATACATTGTCAATCCAAATTAGGAATCTCAGAACCCTCCCCCCAAAGTAGGTAACATAATCTGATTCATTATTATCTAATTTCCAAATAAACAGATGGGAAATTGATTTTGTCCAAAGTGAGTAAAACACTGAGAAGCCACTTCACCCTTGACTTCAGTTTCCTCTGCCTGTAAAGTTAGGGGAATTATATAAATAATGTACATCTAAAAAAATGCTGGGACTTTTATGATTAACTTTTGTCAGTAGAGGCAATAATGGGGTTGTAATAGAGGGGGAGGATCTGTAATCAAATTGTCTAGGTTCAGCTGTATGTCCAATTAGTCACGGCAGTTTTCTCATGTTTAGAGATAAAAAGTAATTTACTTCATAGGTTCAGGATTAAATAAGAAAGTAAACATTAAGTATTTAAGAGTACCTGCCATTTAGTAAGAACTCAAATATATAAGTTCCATGTCCAGTAATTTTGGGGTTGGGGGCAAGAATGGCTCAGTCAGTGGTGGTGATAGCTGACAGTACTGAGTATGTGCCAGGCACCATTCTAAAAGCTTTCCATGTTGTTTTGAATCCTAACAAGCCTATTTTGTAGTGCTATTACCCACATTTTACAAATGAGGAAACGAGAAATAAAGTACTTCACCCAGTTCACAGCACTAATAAGGGAAGAGACTAGACTACTTAACTCAGGTCAGGTGGTCTAGCTCTAGAGCCAATACACTTAATCACTCTGCTACAGGTGCTATAAACACTGCTGACGGGCCAAGATCACAAAAGATAAAATTTACCAGTTAAGCAATACTTGTGGGCAGAATCTTGAGATTTACATATTAACTACCTTCAAATTATTTTCAAATAAGACCATATTTTAAATTGCTAACAGCAAATGTTTATTCATGATTGAAGCCAAGAAGAATTTATAAATGCATTTTAATACCTTGCTGATAAAATAGTAACATTCCATCTTTGCAATCTTGTAAGGAATACAGGAAGATATTGTAAAGGCTTAGATTTGTCTATTATAACCAGGTAATCAGAACACACACACACCACCTATTTTAGTGTTACACCATACTAACTTTTCAGAAAGGCCATCTTGAAGCTCTACTGGATAGCTGAGTAAATAGCGTCCAAGGTTTAAAGACTGGGGAGTAGGGAAGAAAGATGGAGTAGTAAGCAGCACACATTTCAAAGCCCACTTTTAAGCACACGACATTATGAATACTAAAAAAAAAGATGCGGGGAAAAAAGGCAATTAAGCATTTTCAGAAAGCTTTTGGCGATATTCAACGCATAAGGAGGCTGTGCTTGGGACCATCCACTCTCTCCAGCTTCTCAAAGTGTTTCCTGGCATTGCGAATGTTGATCAGAGTAGCTGCAGACGGGATAGACGGATCGGACATAACAACCATCACGTACGTGTTTGATGTGAAGATGTCGATGAAAGCAGCGAAGTTAGAATTCCTGACTTCCATGCTCTGGAAAGAAGCGGCCAATTTACTGCAGCTCAGCTTGAACTGCTTAATGATGTTGCTGATCTTCTCAAATCGGTGGACGTCACGCTGCTCTTTGCATTGGTAATGGGAAATGACTAAGAACGTAGCTCTCTCGAACAGCAGAACTTCGTCGGCCTCAATAATTTGGGCAAAATTCCTTAGGTTCATCTCCAGCTGCTGAACGTTGGGAATCAGCTGATAGACAATACTGGACCAGGCTTTATAGAGCGTTTCATCCCAGATGGATGTTCGAAAACAAGCGCACTCCAGGGGGCGAGACAAACGCCTCAGGTCTTCCTCTCTCTCTTTAAAAATCAGGTCACGCTGATCCTCCTGAACCAGATCCATTTTGTGCACCAGGCAGAAGATTTTGGCATCAGGAGAGTTCTGGAGGATGGCCTCCAGACACGACTGGTAATAATGCATGTCCTTTTCCAGTTCGCGGCTCTCCACGTCAAACACGTAAATCAGCACTTCGACATTACGGAAGATGTTGTCTCGCTGGCTGGTGAAGTAATTTTCCATGAAGGTGTCCTGACCGCCACAGTCCCACAGGTTCAGCACCAGGTTGCCCAGAAATCGGACGTGGGAGTGCTCCACATCAATGGTGGCACCCAGGCGTCGGGTGTCACGAGCAATATAATTTGCAAAGATAATCGACCTCATGCTGGTCTTTCCCGACCCGC